ATACACATAACAACCCGCTCAGTCATCGAGAGAAGGCTAAGCTAGGTGCCGTGGAAAGTAGGTGGAATGCGGATGTCGAGCAGTTTAACTTTACTATAGCGTACAAGCCGGGGAAAAACAACACGGTGGCGGATTCTCTATCTAGAATCCCGACGGAACAGGAGGAAGATAGTGAGGAAGAGTATACAGCTATGCAGGCAGTAGAGGGGAATGGGGCAGGAAGGAAGGAACTGTGGACGATAGATGGGCTGCGTAGGGAGCAAGAAGGCATGAACTATGTTACAAAAATGCGAAGATGGATGGCGGGAGAGTTGCCGGAGGACGAGGTACAGGTAGAGCTCCAAAATGATGACTTCCGCAAGATGTACCGAGCGAGGAAATCCCTGATAGTAAGAGAAGAGGTTGTCTGGCATAGAAAACCCGAAGGAAAGAAGGGAGGTGCCAGTGTTATCTCCAAACTTGCAGGAGGCGTTGATTAGAGCCTGCCACTATGAGTTTGGACATCAGGGGTAAGATCGTACTCTGTCGCTGGTGCAGGAGCGAGGTTTTTGGCCAGGCATGGGAGAAACAGTGCGGGACTACATAGCCAGCCGCGAAAGTTGTGGAGTGGCAAAAGATGAAGTGCCAAAACTCCAGCTGCGTTTAGGGATGATTGAAGCTGTCAAACCATTAGAAACACTGGCAGCAGATTTCACCTTGCTGGACAAGCGGCAAGGATTTGAGAATGTCATGATAATGGTTAACAAATACAGTCGTTACACTTGGGCCTTTCCCACCAAATACCAGAAAGCCTCGACGATTGCAAAGATCCTGGTGAATTGGAACTTCCTGGCAGTGGGTGCCCCTGAGCGATTGTTGACCGATCAGGGTAGAAATTTTGGCAGTGCATTGGTCCGACAAACGTGTGCCACCTTTGGGGTGAAGAAAATAAGAACGTCAGCATATCATCCACAGGGAAATGGTATGGTGGAACGGTTCAATAGAACCCTGCATGGTCTGCTGGCCACCCTAGAGGAAGGGGAAAAGATTAACTGGCCCGAGCATCTGCACACCACGACGGGGTTTTCCCCATTCCTGTTGTTTTGCAGGAGAGAACCAAACCTGCCGTTTGACCTTAGGCCAGAAGTAGATCCCGAGCCGGTAGATGATTGGGTGATGGTGATTAGAGACCTGCAACGGAGATTGCAGGAGGCAGTGGAGACCAATGTGCGGAGACGCAAGGAAATAAACAGAAGAAAAAGAGAGGAGAAAGTCCACGAGAGTAACTGGGAAGTAGGCCAGGAGGTTTTGCTGAGGAACAATGCAAAAATAGGCAGGTGTAAGCTCCAAAACCATTGGTTTGACACAAGATGGCACATTGTTGAGGTCCTAAATTCTAGGCCGGGTTTTTACCGCATTGAGCCCAGTGGGGAAGAAGACCTGGACGCGAGAGTGGAAAATCGGAGCAACATGAAGGCTGCTCCACCCCTAAGGCATCCGGGAGACCCGGTGATGGATGAATCTGAAGATGAAGACGTGGGGCCCCCACCCCAGTTGGGCATGATGAAGAGAAGTAGTTCAGAGAGGTCGATCAAGCCTCCAGCTGAGAGACGAAGACGAAGTCGACAGATTACAGTTTAGGTGTGCATGATAATGAGAAAAAGTAGGTTGTTGAGGGTGAGTTGGAGGAGTCGTGAGTAGGGCAGAGGGGATTGGAGAGATGGCTAGGTCAGAAATGTGCTTTGAGTGTGGTTGCTGTCATGAGCGGGATTGAGTGTACAGTTGTGATGTCCAGGGCATCACTAATATGGACTGGTACATTGTCAGAGGGCTGGTCTGCCGGCCAGGCCAAAGGAGAGTATGCAGGATTTGGATTTGGTATTATTTTTGACACTGGTTCTCTAGTTCAAGGGCCAGGCCAAAGGAGAGTATGCAGGATTTGGATTTGGTATTATTTTTGACATTGGTTCTCTAGTTTAAGGGCCAGGCAAAAGGGGAGCGTGTTTGTTCTGGTTAGTTTTAATTTGGACTAGGAAAGAGTGCAGATTTGAAGGTGGCTTCTAAGTTGTTCTCTCAGCACATGAGGACAGTGCTGTTTTCTTTTAGGGGGGTCTAGTGTTAGTGGGAGAGAGAAGGGGAGAAGAGAAGACGGAAATGCTGCGTTTAGCACGTTGCAGGTGCGAGGTGCAGTTATTAGAACAAGTCTTTTTAGGGGGGGTCGTATGCATGTTTTTCTCAGCACATAGGACAGTGCTGTCTTTTTTAGGGGGGTCGATTGTAATATTCAGAAATTTCAGTGCGATATTTAGAGACGCAATGCCAACATTGGCGATACTGAGTCTTCCAAGGTCGTCTGAGGGAGGACAGCGCTCCCTCTACCGTAGTGAGAATTCCGGGAACTGCGCCCATATAATATTAAGTATACTCTGCCGACTTAATTTGGACGTGAATTAAGAAATTAAATATCAGTTATTTAATTAAAAATGATTATAGATCGTTTCCCAGTCTGAAAATGTTGCGTACGTCCTAATTAAGCTATTAGTCGTGTGGTAAATAAGTCACTCCTTCAAGGCGTGAGCGTCTTGTGGGAGCGTGTTTGGGTAGAGTCGAGAGAGTGGTCAAGCCAGCAAGACCACCCCTGCATTGTACCCAGGAGAGATGACCACGTGAACTGGTTACCTTCGTTCATTTAACTTCAGTATTAACAAGTGAGTTTTATTCAATCTCAGACAAAGCTAGATAGGGCGGTAGGAACAAACAATGAGTGAGTGACGGTGATGTGAGACAATAGCTAACAGAGGGTTTGTTGCAGGGTTTCTGTAGAGCCCACACGGTATGAGAGGTCTACACGATCTGTACGAGTCCACTCACCTGAGTTGAGTCCAACCGGTTGAGTATGGTGAGGATTGGAGTGAAACCAGCTGTCTGGGAGTACAACTAACGACGTGGGACCATCGTCTGTCCCCGTTTGACGATCGTTTGGGGTCATCAGGTCTCCTCTACCTCGGCTCACAATATCACATATCTTCAAGCAGTTTAGTGAAAACCTTTTAACGGGAAGCTAAAGCTCCTCTCAACTGTACAAGGTCTAATTTGCCCACTCCCTTCCGTTTCATGGATGTACTGAGTGTAAAATGAGGCTAGCTGAGTGAATGAATGGTCACACACTGAGACCAGGAGTCTAGTGGGTACTTAGAGGTACATTTTTCAAGGTTGAGAAGGGCATGTTTGTGCCTTAAGAAAATACGGGTGCATGCTTGGTTGTGCCTTAAGAAAATAAGGGTGCATGCGGAACCTATGTGTGAGGTTAAGGAGCATGTTTTCACGGGTATTGGTGGACTCAATAACTTCTTAATAGTGATAATATTTTTTCAGTGACTGATATTTTCTTACTGTGTGTAATTAATATTTCTAAAATAATTTTGATAGTATTGTTTTTATGTTTATGTGTCACTAATTGATGTCAGATAACGAGGGAACTGTTTTCAGATAAGGTTCATCCTCTCTGTTGTAAGTAAACCTGTTGATTTAGTTATTTTAATGCTTTAATATTTCTTTATAATTTCAATATCATGTATAACTTTTGTTCCCCAGTGTAGTGTCTTAATCCAGGTTAAAAGGTGTACATCTGTTGGTGTAACATTATTTGGTTGAGTGCCCTTAAGGCTTATTCATGGTGGAGTTAATAATTTCTTATTTTTCTAAACCATTTTCTCAGTGATTGATATCATTTTGTTGAAAGCCCTTAAGGTCTGCAAGAAACATATTCTTAATACTTTTAATTTATTGTTCTCTAATGAGGCATTTTCTAAGTTTCTAATAATTTCAATATTATGTATAAATTCTAGTCCCCAGAGTAGTGTTTTAAGCCAGGTTAAGAGGTGCGCATATGTTGGTGTACCATTATTGATTGTGTCTGTATTGTTGTAGGGAATATAAGTGTCTAAATTTTACAGTGCATCTCATTCATCTCATTCACAGGGTCTTCTTAAGGGTCATGTATTTTGTCAAGTGTTAGTGTTGTTTCGGGTTTTCTTCTTAAGGCGCTTC